AGACGCTGCTCTTCCCACCCTGATTCATACAGTCTGCTCCGTTGCACGGAGACATACACACTGCACCAAATCTCTTGTCTTATACTAAGGTAGTCCTCTCCAGCTCTACCTTTGCGGGTGTAGATGCAGCCTACCACTTCAGTCCTGTCATGCCTGCATAACAGCACTATGTAAACCCAGAACCAATGACAAGCGCCTTCTTACTCTGTTCTTACAGTCTGGCTAAATGCCCTGGGCTTGGTTTCATCTATCTCAGCTGATAATGTCTAAATTCATCAATTTCCGAGTAACAGTCTTAAGATTAGCTTTAAAACTCCAATACTGTTCAGAAAACTCAATTATCCTACCTTCAAAGATGTGTGTTAAATTCAGGTGCAACCTTCATTTGCCAATTGTTTTTTGGGAGTCTATCCTGAGTTTCCAATAGTAAAATAACCCTCAAAAATTTAAATAAAAAATCATGGAATAATAAACGTTCGTTGCATGTTGTTTCACATTGAGTGTCATGTGACTCTCTTTGAGATTTCAGAATTGCTACAGTGTGTTAATGTATTTTCCCGTAGGGCAAAGAAAAGGCCTTAAAGGACACACAGTTTTGATCAACACAGCGCCACAAATCTCTCGATCCGAGGAGAGTAAAAAGAGAGTTGCAACATTTATCGGACAACAGAGCCAAACAGATCTTACAAATGATATAACAGGTTATTCTTGGAGAGTTCTAGCACTCAACATAATTCACACATAGGTCCCAAGGAAATCCAGACTGTGGGGATAGCTATTGTTGCTTTTCCCCTTGCCCTTAAACAGATCTGGGACTCTCTAAAGCAACATTACAGGATATAGGTTTTATTGCTTCCCTTTGTGGAGTCACATAAGCCTTAAGAACCTTAGTTAAAACCACCTTAATAGAAGCTATCTCACAGTCATGACAAAAACAAGGACCTATATCACTGGAAGTGATCTTTACAGGAAGGAGGGGTCCATTAACTGGGCCCCATTTTTTCAGCAGAAGTGGATTTCACGAATCACGTTGGACCATTCTGGCTCCTCATAAGGTCACTGGCCCAGGGAATATTCCTCAGGTCTCACCCATGGGCCCCGGTACCCCTCTAGGTTATAGAAACACAGTATACCTAACATTTATTAAATTCCTACCATGTACAGGCATTGTTGAAGACTCACGCATTACTCATTCATCCTCTTAACTCTGTAAAGTAGGAATACTATAATTACCATCTTACAAATGAGGCAACACAGTAGTTAAACATATTCTTGGCCCAGAAGTATTTAACAGTCACTTGCAAGGAACTGATAGCCATTCATCCTATGTTTTTGGCCAAGTCACTCTTCCAGACATGTCTGAATAGTGTACATAACCTCAAGATTCAAGATTTCTTACTCAACTACCAGCATCTCTTTTCCAGCTCACTCCCTCTAATAACCTTCCAACTCACGAGGCACCCAACTCATTGATTTCATTACCTGTTTTCATTGTCCCCCCTGGCCCCCCCCATGTCCTCATTATCCCTCACTAGTCATTGACAACTACTCACTACAAGATGTCAATTCCCTTCCTTCTATAACAGGCATCCTCAAACTACGGCCTGCGGGCAACAAAACAGGTGTTTTGCCTATTTGGTTTTTACTTTTCCAAAAAGCATATGGTGCAGTGTGATAAGAATTGTTCATAAGTTTTTGTTTTTTTTTAACTATAGTCCGGCCCTCCAACGGTCTGAGGGACAGTGAACTGGGCCCCCGTTTAAAGTTTTAGGACCCCTTAATATCCACTAAACAACAAACGAACAAAAAAAATACCCGATGGTTAACACCAACTCCCTGCCTTCTCCCTGCCACCAACACAAGGAGCTGAACATAACTCACGGCTCAACTGCACACCCACAGGTGGGCTTCACTTGACATTCATATCAATAACCCAAGAGAACCCTTGGTATCGCCCAGAATCCGTATGACATTTTATTCTATCATTCTCCAGGACTGATTTCTTAAATTTCTCCTTTGTCCTTAAATCTCTAAACATTCTCCTTTCCTTCCTCACTCTCAGGCGAAGATCTTGGCTTTTCATGAAAAATTAAAACGACCAGAAGGAACATGCATTCGCGTTCCACCCATCCACCAACCTGCCCGCATCTGTGCTTGTCCTGTCTTCCCTCCTGATACTGTGGGGGCACTGTCCGTTTGCCCGTGCTCCACTTAGCCGCCCCTTCCCACCTTTCAGGATCACGGTTCCAGCACTTTCTGCTCTTTCCTGTGCTTAGTTTCTCTTTGTATAGGATCATTTTCTGCAGAATGCATGCCTTTATTTCCCCCATCTTTAAGAAAACAAAATAACTTTTCTGACTCCCATACCTACCCATTTTACTTCTGTGTTTGAAATAAATCTCTGGAGAATAAAGAAAAGGTGTTTCTATACTCGTCTCTCGTATCTCTTGAGCCCATTTTAGTACTGACTGCAATTGACTCCACCTTGCAGACTAATGGACAAGAGTCTCTCCCCTTACTTGAACCCCCCTGTCTCGTGCTTCCAGGACCCTCTCTCTTGGTTCCTTCCTCCTGAAACCTTCACATGTCTGTTGCTGGTTGCTCATCATTCTTCCCTAAGCAGGACAGGCTGACTGTCAGAGCTCACAACCTCACACACAAGGCTCCTGGCCTTGAATGTCATTTACAGACAACAACTCCCAAATTTATAGCCAACCAGAATTCTCCCCTAAATCCAATGGCTATTGAGTTTTCAACTCAGATGGCATGAGAACCTCAAACTTTACATGCCTAAAAGGAACTGATGATTCCATTCCCTCCCAAAAACACGTGTTCTCCTGTAGTTTTCACCATCTCGTAAAGGGTATAGCACTTTCCATGGCGATGGTTAAAACCTCTTTAACTTCTATTCCATCTGCAATCTTGCTGGCTCTATGTTCAAAATAAATAAATTTGATACATTCTCATCATCCCAGTTAAGGCATTACCTTTCCCCTGACTACTTCAATACTCCTTTACATGGTGTCCCTTATCTGTCCTTGCAGTTAGAGAAATTCTTTTAAAATGTGGGTCAGATCGGTTCATGGTCTGTTCATCCAATATCCTCCAGTGGTTTCCCTTCTTACCAAAGCCCTCATGAGGCCTAAAGCCCCCTGGATCTGTCCCCACTCCCTTACTTTCTCCTAAGTGTGGAGAGAGCAGCAGGAGGGGGGAAGGAGAGTTAGTGGCTAGGCTCATGGAGCTGTCTTGCAAGTGCCTAAAGAGAAGCAGAAGAGAAAGCCACGCAAACAGGGAAGAGAAGGACCTTATTAGGCAGAGGCATGAAAGTCAGCAATGCTAATGCTGTGGGCCAACTAGAAAATGAAAATTGTACCTAATGAGCTGATGTCCAGATTAAGGAGATCTTCCAGGTAAACTGTTGAAAGTACCAAGTTTTGTGCCATAATAAAATGCAAGTGGAGAGAATACGCTAAAAAATAAAAACTATTAAAATATCAAGGATCAGGACTCACGGTCTTTGAAAATGAACTTTTCTCATTCTAGTCTTATCCAGAAGTCAACCGTGCTAACAATTAAGAAATGGCTCCTGTGCAAAGACTGAATCAGGCTTGCTGTCAGGAAAGCATTATATAACCGTAAGCCCTTCATAAGTCCTCAAAAGATAATATGATGCCCGTAAATCTTTTCAGATAACAAAGCTTCTCTATAATCTTAAGGGCACTCTCTTCCCAGCAGCTCTGTATGGGTCTAAGTACAGAGAGCTTATTTCAAAGTAATCTGTGGGTGTGGCCTTTGTCTTGCGAAGTCGATTCATAAGAAATCTACAAAGTTTTTTAGAAGAATCTATACCAGGTTGGCTTGACAAGGACAGAGTATACTACAAACTGACAAAGAGTTTAGACTTCCGTCCTGCATCAGCAAAAAGCAGGCTGAGACACTACCAGCTGCGCTGCATATGCATGCTACTTTTTAAGGAACCAAGGAGGAGAGCCCGAGAACAAAACTGAGAGCTGGAAGACAGGGCCCAAACCCCACTGTCGGCAACCTGCAGGCAGTGAGACAAGTCCTAATCAGAGGAATGCCCTACATGTTGCCTGGCTAAGATTTCACAACTGTTACGACTAGTACTTGCTGCATGCCTTCCGTTCCCCCTTCCTAACTGGAAGCATTTATACTGCTCTCCTATGCACTGCATGTTGCACTGTGCGCCCACTACTAATGCTGAATGGGGGGTAGATACTCTTCTATCTTAATTCACATCGTCTTCAGATCAAAGGGAACTATACTCAAGGGTTCAACTTGAAGAAAAATACCAGAGAGTCTGATTCGATAAGATTTAAGACTTTAACTTGATTCCGAATGTCAAATAAATAAGAAATTGGGAGGCCCTGGAAGAGATGCGTGCCATTTTACATGTAGGAAATATATTTTGGCATTTGAGACAGACTCTCATTTTTAAAAACTTGTCTTCAAATTAGTCAATGCTATCCTATGAAAAGGTATAATGTAATATTTCCTCCCTTTAAATGTTGTCTGGCTTCTCTTCACTTCGAATCAATAGAATGCAATAGAAGTAACATTCCTGACTGGAGACTGAGTCGTAAGACCGGTCCCGTTGATACGGCTTTGGCTCCTCCCTGTGCCTATCT